GTACATAAACGAGTCAAATACTGTAACCTAACGTGAATTCAAAAGATAGTTCTTGACGAACTTAATTGTAAAAATGAACTTTATTTGTCTGTATAATAAGCATTAGGAGTAAAAGATGTATTTGTTGGTAGTATGTAATCTGCAAAAACGTGATTTTAATTCTACTCGGCTGGTTGAGGCATACAGGGATTTCCGATTATCTGGTCCGCGATGCGACTAGCTTCTCGTAGTCCGCTAAGGAAGGCACCGTGTACTGTGGCGGGGTAGTTGCGAATTGTGTGCTCTCCGGCAAAAAATACCCTGCCGAAAATAAAATGCGTACAGGAACACTGACACACAAATCCACGTACATTTTTTTCAGTTGATAAAATAATGATTTATTGAAAAGAAAATTGTCAAAAATCATAAAGCCGCATTATCACAGATTTTTTAATTTTAGGTATTTTTAAAACAGGATAACTTTGACAACTCAAAAGCTCAACGCGCGTATGAATTTTGGTACAATCTTCCAGGTCCCATTGTCAAAATTGCAATTTTGCTAAAGTTCCACATTTTTGGTTAGGAAAGAAATGCTTGGTTAATAGTGTGTGTTTGAATTTTTTCACGTTCTTTGCAGTTCCTTTGTTAAAGCCATGACTTCTTGTCCAAAAATTTGCCATAAATGGATAAAAAAACTCCTATTCAAGGGTTTTTCCAATTTTATACATTTTTAGAGAATGAAATCACAATCCTGCTCGAAAGCTCAATACACATACGTGTTTTAGCGCATTTTATCAGGTTTTCCAAAATTCTGATTTTTTGCGCAAAAACTTATGAAAATATGATGAGCCGCATTTTCTTAAATTTTTACCATAGTAGGTCAGGTATGAATCTATGTTTTAAGTTCTTTCCAGTTGCGTCATCGGAATCATGATTTCTCATCAAAAAATTTATCAAAATGCATAAGAATAGGCACTTTCACCTTTTTTTTATTTTGGACATTTTTAAAGTAAGATGTTATGCTTGGTAGGCTGAAGAACCCAATCTGCGTATGTTTTTGTGGATCCCTTCGGGGTCAATTTTTGACATTTCAGGTCAGTAAAGGAACTGTTGTCTAACTCAAAGGTCTACTATACATATATGCCTAGATTGAGTTTTCGAGTTAGCGAGGTTATATGATACCCTAAAAATGACTAAAATTGAAAAAATCAGAGAAAATTGAGTTTTCCCGATTTTGGCAAACAAATGAACCTTTTTGATTGTGGAACCTAAAAAAATGGACAAGATACATATACAGAAGTCGACGTCAAGCCGAAACCGGGTAATAGGCAAAGTCATAACAGCTATCAGAAAAATATTTAAAAAAATTTTATGTATGTGTTTTGAAAATTATAGGTCTTTGAAAAAAATATAGAAATTTTACACCCTACGGCAGTCTGTCAACTCCTGTTACTACAAATATTAACTTTTTTTGGATTTTATTTTTACAATGTAATGATGAATAATGCATCTTCAAACTGGTGTCTCAATCTTACTGCCAACTTTTCTTGTTCAGGAAAAATTGCCACTTATTTCCCAACCAAGTATTCCAAAGTAAGACTTTGCTCAACTTTAACTGGCTGTACTGGAAAAAATGTACTACGAGAGTTTGGCAAGTAACCTTAAAAGTTGGCGCATTTAATAAGGATTCCAAAATGGTATAACACTTAGAAAATTACTCGTTAACTTATGCACAATTTTTATTTCAAAAAAAAACTGATGAAAATTTTTCAAAATTTCCTAATTAAACAGCGATTATGAAAACGCACAAGGACACTTAAGGATAACTGTTTGCACAACAGTGGGCGTCAAAATGCTGCTGATGATGATTTACCTTTACAGCAAATGCTCAAACTGTTTTCCTTCAGCCGCAATCCACGCTCGACATCTTCTTAAAAAAGATCGGGTTATTAAACGAGCGAATCCAGGGTTATTAACAAACTCAGCTGCTTCCAATAGTCTTTGCCGTAGCTCAGCTACATTTTGAATCGGCTTGAAATACACTTTTTCTTTTACAGTTCCCCAGTAAAAAAATTTAAGGATTCAAATCAGGTGATAGGGCTGGCCACGGTATTGTACCAGACCGCCTTATCCATCTGCCTGGAAAGTTTTGATCGAGATACTCTCTCACTGAGAGTGCATAGTGCGCTGGGCAGCCATCATGCTGGAACCACATGTCCCTGTAAATACTCAGTGGCACGTCCTCCAATAAATTTTGTACATGATTTTTCAAAAAATCCAAATAAACTTCAGCAGTCAAAGTCAAAGATATTGAGATTTATCTTCTCTCATCAAATGTGGGTTTGCTAGGTTCCACTCGTGTAAGTTATGCAGGTTCATGTACCCATCTTTCTTAAATGTGGTCTCATCCGACCATAACATTTTTTCAAAGAACTGTGGATCTTTCCTGTGTCTTTCTAACATTGTGCGACAAAAAGCAACTCGGTGCTCATAATCCCGGGCAGGAGAGGTTGAACACGCTGTATGTGGTATGGATGAAGCACATCACTTACTTGCTATTGCACACTTTGATACCGATCAGTACTCCTTCGTTTACTGCGCATCTTTACATGTTCGTGCTTGTTGATTTCGTACTGTTACTAATTTTGGATTCGTGAACTGGACTGTTGATCGCTTGTGATTTGGATTTGGACTGTTTAATTGCTCTTCAAAACAACATTTGCTTTCCTTAGACTATCTTTGATAGTTTGATTGTGCAGTGCCGCTATGTCCGTGTACACCGTACAAGAATATGCTAACATGCACCCCATTTATGGGGAATGCAGATGCAACGCTAGTGCTGCAGCGAGACTTTACTGTGAGAGGTACCCGAATGCAGCTCGTCATCCAGATCATCGAGTGTTCACAAGTGTGCACCGTTTACTGTTCTCAGAGGGCCAACTACCAAACCAATCACACGGTGAGGGAAGATCTTTCCTTCCTTACGAAGACGTGGTGCTAGGAGCTGTCGAAGAAGACCCGAGTACTTCAGTGCGTGCAACAGAACTAAAAACAGGTGTGCCCAAAAGTACAGCCCATAGAATCTTGCAAAAAAACGTGCTCCATCCATACCACGTACAGCGTGTTCAAGCTCTTCTGCCCCAGGATTATGAGCCCCGAGTTGCTTTTTGCCGCACAATGTTAGAAAGACACAGGGAAGATCCACGGTTCTTTGAAAAAATTGTATGGTCAGACGAGACCACATTTAAGAAAGATGGGTACATGAACCTGCGTAACTTACACGAGTGGCACGTAGCAAACCCACATTTGATGAGAGAAGATAAATCTCAATATCGCTTCAAGATAAACCATTGGACAGGAATTTTAAATGGTAAAATAATCGGTCCGTTTGAGTTCCCAGAGACTTTGACTGCTGAGGTTTATTTAGGTATTTTGCAAAATCATTTAGAAAATTTATTGGAGGACGTGCCACTGAGTATTTACAGGGACATGTGGTTTCAGCATGATGGCTGCCCAGCGCACTCTCAGTGAGAGAGTATCTCAATCAAAACGTTCCAGGCAGATGGATAAGGCGGTCTGGTACAATACCGTGGCCAGCCCGATCACCTGATTTGAATCCTTTAGATTTTTTTACTGGGGAACTGTAAAAGAAAAAGTGTATTTCAAGCCGATTCAAAATGTAGCTGAGCTACGGCAAAGACTATTTTAAGCAGCTGAGTTTGTTAATAACCGTGGATTCGCTCGTTTAATAACCCGATCATTTTTAAGATGTCGAGCGTGTATTGCGGCTGAAGGAAAACAGTTTGAGCATTTGCTGTAAAGGTAAATCATCATCAGCAGCATTTTGACGCCTACTGTTGTGCAAACAATTATCCTTAAGTGTCCTTGTGCGTTTTCATAATAGCTGTTTCATTAGGAAATTTTGAAAAATTTTCATCAGTTTTTTTTCAAATAAAAATTGTGCATAAGTTAAGGAGTAATCTTCTAAGTGTTATACCATTTTGGAATCCTTATTAAATGCGCCAACTTTTAAGGTTACTTGCCAAACTCTCGTAGTACATTTTTTCCAGTACAGCCAGTTAAAGCTGAGCAAAGTCTTACTTTGGAATACTTGGTTGGGAAATAAGTGGCAATTTTTCTTGAACGAGAAAAGTTGGCAGTAAGATTGAGACACCAGTTTGAAGATGCATTATTCATCATTACATTGTAAAAATAAAATAAAAAAAAGTTAATATTTGTAGTAACAGGAGTTGACAGACTGCCGTAGGATGTGAAATTTCTATATTTTTTTCAAAGACCTACATAAAATACATAAATTTTTTTTAAATATTTTTCTGATAGCTTTTATGACTTTGCCTATCACCCGGTTTCGGCTTGACGTCGACTTCTGGGACGTATATGGTGGGTTTTTAGCAAACATATGATATCCCGTTTAAAATGTCAAAAATTGGAGAAAATCAGTGAACATGCAGATTTTTCGATTTTTGACGAACATCCATGATTTTATTAGTGGAACTGAAAAAAACGCAAGAATTTTCACTGCCTACCCAAAAATTCGAATAAAAATTCAAACAATATACGTTGCACAATTCTATAAAGAATTAGGATCATGTAGAATAATAACAGTATAGCGACGGTAATATTTTCAATTCTTTTTTGCTGAATTGCACCAGTAAAAAATATTTTTTTAAAAAACACGTTTTTGGGCTAGATCTATCGATCTGAAAAGTTGACTACAATTGTTTGACTATAATATATAACTTGATTTGGATACCTCGATTGATCCAGAGTTGGATACTTTCGAGGGGAATTAAACAATATCCATATGAATGTTCCTTACCTGGCGGGTCCATTGGTAACAGAAACACCCTGAGCATTCGGCGGGATGACTGGTGAAGCTAACAAATCATAATCGCTACCAGAACTGCCAACCGCAACGAAACTGTAGGAACCACGCGACCAAGGATCAGCGCGCCATCTCGTCACCACTGTCTCTTTGGGCTGGGGAACTCCCGATTGACCGAAGATGCCACGTAGTACTGCGATACATCTGAGACAGAAGAAAAACCGTTCTAAGCATGTTTACAGGTGAAAAATTAATCAAAGACAGTACCTCGTTGCGGTAGATGTGCAACTTTCAGTAACTTAGGTGACGCGTATGGAGACGTTGCTCAATCGAGAGAGCATTCAAACGGCATATTTTTGTTCCTTTTGTAGGTAACTGTACCAAGCAAGAATATTACGTTGCTCTGTTAGAAAGTGGGAAATTTTAATGGTAATTACGTTATATATAATATATATATATATATACAGGGTTATCCAAATTAAGTGTCCACCATTAGTAACTTTGTTATTAGTGAAAATACAAAGTTATTTGAATTAGCAAACTAGTAGCATTTTTAACGCTGGTAAAAATGAGAAATAAAAAAAAACAATTGAGAGTCGTTATTTTGATTTTTTTCAGTAAAATAACATTTTTTTAAATGGAAACCCCTGTATATTATATTTTTTTCTGTTAAAGCATCAAATTTTAAACAAAAAAGCTTACAATAACTTTTCTCCTAGGTTACAAATTGTTGAAGTTATGGCCTCCAATCTGAAACAATTAAATTGTATCGACAAACTTTATTTTCAACATCAACTTATAATCTTACAAAATACAATAACAATTTTTTTTAAAGAAGATGCTCGAAAACACCACCTTGTTCTTCAATACATTTTTGGGCACGTTTTTCAACTACTCGAACTGTCTTAAGTATGGTCCTACCATCTATCTGGGTTATCTTTTCCCTAACTGCAGTCTTTAACGCGTCAAGGTTATCGTACCTTCGCTTGTAAATTTGGTTCTTTAAGTAACCCCACAAGAAGTAATCAAGTGGGTTTAGATCTGGTGATCTGGGAGGCCACTGTATTGGGCCATTTGTTCCTATCCACTGATCATTAAAAGTAGTACTTAGAAAATGATAAGTACCTCTGGAGTTGTGGGCAGGTGCGCCATCTTGCTGAAAATGCAGATGATGTCTACTTATAAGATCCAATTCGTCTAAGAAATTAGTCAGAATTTCTGACATAAATTCCACATATCTTTCACCAGTTAGGTTTCCCTCATAAAAGAACGGGCCAACAATTTTTGAACCAATTATACCGCACCAAACGTTGAAACTGAAACGGACTTGTGGGCCTCTTGGATGTACTAACAAAAGATTTTCTCTTGACCAATAATGGTGGTTTTTTCTATTAAACATTCCAGAATTTGAAAAATTTGATTCATCTGTCCATAAAAGGTAACGAAAGTTATTTACATTTTGGCGACAGAAGCTAAGATACCAATGGCAAAAAACAAGTCTTCTCTCTGGATCCCCTGCCAAAAGCGTTTGAACTGGTCGGTACTTATACGGAATAAATTTGTATTTTTTTAAAATCCTTTGAACAGTACCATAACTGAAATTAGAGTCCTTGAGAATATCTGCTATTGAATTCTCACGATAAGCTTCAAAATATCCAATAACTGCAATTTCCGTGGCCTCGCTTATTATGAATTCTTTTTTTGCCCTTGTTTTAGCAAAAACGTTTTCGTTGCCCCTAAATTTTCGATAAAGTCTCAGAAAATATCGTTCATACGGTTGAATGCGAGCGGGATATAATTCACTGTAGTATTCTCTTGCTCTCAAGGAGGATTTTCTGCACACTAAATAGCATTCTAACATATCACACTTTTCTTCATGGGAGAACATTTTTCTTTAAATTAATGACACAATAAAGCTTATAAACAAGTATTTGCACTAATGTTTGACATTATTTGATTTTATCATTGTTTTCCAAAGCCTTCTAGTTGCGAGTATGTCCAGTTTAACAATTTGTCGCTTATCTTAATGCTGTCAAATCGCGACCGCCATGTTGTTTTTATAGCCGTCTTAATATTATAATACTGCAAATAATTAAAAATATTTATCGTTATTTTGACTTTATTTTTGACTTTAGCGGAAAAGTCATTATGAACTTTTTTGTTTAAAATTTGATGCTTTAACAGAAAAAAATATAATATACAGGGGTTTCCATTTAAAAAAATGTTATTTTACTGAAAAAAATCAAAATAATGACTCTCAATTGTTTTTTTTTATTTCTCATTTTTACCAGCGTTAAAAATGCTACTAGTTTGCTAATTCAAACAACTTTGTATTTTCACTATTAACAAAGTTACTAATGGTGGACACTTAATTTGGATAACCCTGTATATATATATATAGGTGAAAAATTAAAGCTTCCGCCTTTTGTTGGGTACTTCGACAAAATTTAAGCTAAGAGGACTCTTTATACTTTTTTTAATTCTCTCTAGCTTTCAATGGACTTTGCCATCATCATCAGGAGCTGCAATTACAATGATAACAGTAGCAACAAAAGTGTAAAATGAATTTAAATTGAATTAACTTACAGTAGTATGTGAGGATGTTGCTAATTGTTGTTTTCGTATAGCATGAGGGAAACGTCCAGTAACATGGTGAGAGCTGGATACATGGTACAATGGTTAAAATTATATAAAATATGACGAGACAAGTTAAAGACAGATTAAAAATTATTTAGAAAACATTAGAGCATTACGTCGGGAAGCCACTTGATGATTGCACAAAATGGTGGTTATGGAATAATGAGTGAGATGAACCTTTGACAGGCCGAAGGTTGTCAATGTCTGTGTTGAAAGATGGAACGAATTGTGGGCGTGTGCCAAAACGTTGCCAAATCACTTCTAGACGACAATGACCACGTCTCAAGTTATATATATATATACAGGGTGACTTTGAAGTTGAGTCATTAATTTTCAGATAATGATTGTAGAAGGAAGATAAACCAAAATATCTGTGTAAAAATAAAAAAAAATAAAAAAAAATGTTTACCTTGTTTTATAAAGTATCCTCCCGACAAGTATTTTAGTGCGGACCTGTATTTGATCGTGCGGTCTTGGAGCACCGGCATGTCACCTGATTCACGAGCCCTTTGTACTACATTAACAAAGGCACAAGGGATTGGTTGCACTCGATTGGGAAACCGATCCGCATAAACATGTACCATTTTTGATTTCGTTTGAGCCACGCAACAGACACCACTATTCACTAACGCGTTACCGACTGACAATGACTGTATACGTGTATACAACTGAATAAAATAATTGTAAAAACATCGTTCCAAATTCTTTCGCTTTTTTGTTTCCGATGCGATGAACCGATAAGGCGGATTATATCCGTTCTCGCCAAACACGAGCACATAATATTATTATTGAGACAGGGCGGTACTCAAACCTCCAAAGGTCTATAACTTTGTTACTTTAATTTTACCAGGAAAATGGTAAAGGAAAAAAACATTTCTTTTGATCAGATCTACTCACTGTTAAAATAAATGACTCAACTTCGAAGTCACCCTGTATATATATATATATATATAATATACAGGCTCTCGCAAAATTGTTTCCTTTACACGGTGTATAGACCTTGAAAAAATAAACCAAATGGCACCCTCGTACAGCAATGACGATCTGTCCGACATGATTTTCATTTATTGCGATTGTCTTCAAAATGCTACCGAGGCTTCCCGAGTGTATCAGGTCACTTTCCCAGGCGTTATCATTCAGACGTGGATTTGTTTACCTTGTGCAAAGAGATAGGGATACAAGACACTTACAGGTGTGTGACGATCTTTTTTTCGATACTATTTCACCACACATTAACTTTGTTATTTTAGTCTAGTTGTTTCTAAAAAGGGAAGACCCGACTTTCAGGTTACCCTGTATAAGAGGCTAACAAAAAGAGTAGACTATATTTGCCATCCAACGACAGTACACTGGTTTGAGAATAGTGCGATTGAAAGCATGATATGACATATCCCTGCGAACCTTGGTGCCAACGCATACTATATGACGCATTTTCAATTTTACTACCTTTCATCGTCGTAGTACAGCTTCGTGTCCACGGGAACACGTTCTGCAGTTAGCGAGTTCATAAGATTTGAGAAAAATCATTCTGAGGTGCAAGTATCAAGATATTAATGTTGTAAGTACCACCAATAATAATAACAGTAATCTTTATTTGCAAATACAAAATGCTGTAAGCCATTTGCGATACTACTAGCGTCAACCAAACAAACTTAACATTAAAATCTTGCTCCAAAGCATATTACCCAAATCTGTCATGAAAAAAATGATCGATTTAATATGATTCTAGATTTAGTAATACTTTGTATAATCTTTTTTAAATGCAAGTTTACAATTTTTTTCATAACTGCCAGCAAATGGTTAAGAAGTTTCAAAGAATTCTGAATAGGTCCTTTTCAAATAACGCTTATCTATGCTTAGGATAAATATAGTTAGGCACTGTGAACAAAAATAGATATAAAGGGTGTTTTTTTAGAGGTATAGAACTTTAAATTGCAATAAAACAACGATGGATTATTCGATTGACATTAATTTTTTGTATTCGAAAGATAATCTTGTGACATTACATTTTAAATATGATTTCTGGCATATGACTGACCCGGCTGGCTCGGATGTAGTTCAATCTGGACGTCCAATTTTCGATGACTTTTTCCAACATTTGTGGCAATAACATGGCGAATGTTGTCTTCCAAAACAGTCAGTTTTTCTGGATGTAACGGTGTTTCGACATATACTTGAGGATTAGCTTCACTCCAAATGCGGCAGTTTTGTTTGTTGATGTAGCCATTTAACCAGAAGTGCGCTTCATCGCTAAACCAAATTCGCTTATGAAATCGGGAACAACGGCAATCTCGTTTTGGGCCCACTCAACGAATCTACGCCTTGCTTGATTATCGTTTGGCTTCAATTCATGCAAGAGCTGGATTTGGTAAGCACGCAAACCAAGATCCTTCCGCAAAATCTTCCATAAAGTGGATGGACACAGATCCAATTCCTGTGCTCGATGGCGGATGGACTCATTCGGGTCTTCTTCAATGCTACGCTCTACAGTAGCAATAGCATCTTCTGTACGCACTTTTAGAGTAAACGTGGTGCGAAAACGTTCCATGGTTAATCGAATTAACTGCTCTGATGGACGATTTTGTCAACGATAAAATGGACGTAGTGCGCGATACGTATTCCGCACAGAACCATTGTTTTCGAAATAAAACTGCACAATGTGCAAGCGTTGTTCAGGCGTGTGTCTATTCATGATGGATTGCCAAACCAAACTGAGACATGATGACAGCTGTCAAATCGGTCGCTATCTTCAAAAATAATGTCAACTTAAAGTTCTATACCTCTAAAAAAACACCCGTTAAAAGCACTCTTGCATAAAAAATTCAAACCCAAAATATTTTTCTACTACAAAGACTTCATCAAGGTTACTATAGTTTCCGAAGAATATAGCTCCACACCTTAGTCTAGATTTTTATTATTATATCCCATACCGTTGGTTCAACTTTTTAGAGTAAAAATTCTTGATTTCGGTCAGGGCGAATTCATTTTATTTCATTCGTACAACGTTTATAAAGTAGGTTCTATGTAAAGTGAAAAGTTAAAACTTGTTCTGTATACGATACATGTATTATGTGAAATTGTATTGTATTATTTTATAAGAAATACTTTTTGTAAGGCCTTTAATATCTTCCACAATACTTTATGTACCTGGAAATGGTCTAGATGGCCGAAACGTATGAATGAAATAAACTGAATTCACGTTGGCCGAAACTCAACAATTTTTATCCTTAATAGTTAGTCTAGATTTAAAATTTCAGTTATACACAACTTTCAAAGATCTTATATATAATATCCAAACATTTAGCAATAATTCTTATAGAATAACATACTTTACTACGTTTATTCCATAAATAACTATTTAAATTACTTAAGTAGTGTGGAGAATGTAAATCCAGGCCAAATGTTATGTATATGATATTGAACCACAGCCGACGTCAACTACGAGCCGTGAACAAAGAAATCTGGCAACGTAGGTGGTAGTGTTACTCCCGCCGCTGCTTGCTGCATCGACGCAACTCGTGCTCAAAACGCTGAGAAAACATAACCTTTTCAATTTGTTTTCTAAACTTCAAAGTGTGTGTATGTGTTCAAAGTGATCAGTGACTATAATATATGAGAAATAGACTCCAGTTGTAGTGCTTCTGTGCTTTAAAAATAAACTAAGAAGTGTGACTGTGGCTGTTCGCGCCTCAGGACGCTAAGGATTTCAACTATTGAAAACGTGTAAATTCAGGTTGTATTTTTCTTTTTTCATTTAGCAAGTATTTGACGCAGACAATATGCCTCGTTGTTGCTGTGTTCCTTTATGCAATGCAAACTATAATTCTGCTTTGAAAACAGAAAGCTATGTTTCAACTTTTCGCTTCCCAAGTACCGAAAGTCTGAAAGACAAATGGCTTATGGCAATTCCCAGAAAAAATTGGACACCTTCAAAATATTCAGCTGTGTGCAGTCGTCATTTTAGAGAATCGGATATCATCAGGACAAAAAATATAGTTTTGGCGGATGGAACAGTCCAAAATAATATACCTTTGAAATATCCAAAATTGAAAGAAAATGCTGTTCCCTCCATTTTCCCAAACTTGCCATCATATCTTTCAAAAACTGAAGCACCCAAAAGAACTGACCCAATGCAAAGAAAACAAAAATTAATTGAGAAACATTTCAAACGAATTTTGTAAGCCTATTACCAATAAATATGATTATAGAGTACAATTTTTAAAAAAATTCCTGATATGGTTAGAAAAATGGCATAATCTAGAGAATAATAATGGACACCTAACACCAGAAACGTATACAGCTCTATATCAAAGCACGCTGACTCTACTTAATATAATTGAATTATTCATTTAATCAATTTGACATTGAGTATGTATTGCCTGGAAAATTCACCACTGATAATTTAGAAAAACGATTTGGCAATTATAGACTTTTATGTGGCTGCAATTACAATGTGTCATATGATGAAATTTTAAATGCTGAAAAGAAAATACGGCTGAAGCATATTTTCAATGAAAAGAAATCGTCATTTTCTTTAGCAGAAATTAAAACAAGGTTCCAAAACTGCTTAGAAACTCAAGAAAATTTTGATTTCTTGGATACCAAACAAAATCCTGAAGTTTTGGATATATTCAATGAAGTATTTGAGACAAATTACTTAGCCAATTGTGACATAGAGGATAGTACTAAGACTTATATATCTGGATATGCCTCACACGCTATCTCTAAAAACCTAAACTGCGAGATATGCAAATCGCTAATAGTTAAAGAAAAAGGTTCATTAACAACAAATGTTTATTTTGATCATTTGCAAAGAGGAGGACTGTCAATTCCAACCAGTTATGTACCAATCATATTCTACCATATGTATGCCATTTTTGAATCTATTATTAATGTAGACAGATTGGAAATGTTCTTCTTGAAAAGCAGTAATCAAAAATTTATTTTGTGTCAGTTAACCTTGCTCAGCATTCAGTCTGACTTTATATACAGTGAATTTTCTTTAAACTGCATCTGTGGCCGCAATTATGCAGATATTTTATTTAAGCTTTTGTCTATTTTTTCAAACATAATTTTGAATGATTATGTAAAATTGAAAAATAACAGTAAAACTGGAAGTAAATGTATTAAAAACAAACAGGTAACTCCACATTTCCAAGCTGGGCCTGTTGGAACACAGTGTGCTGACACCAAAAAACGTAAACTAAATACTTTTAATTAGGTTAACTGCATTAGCGACTCATATATATCACGATTATATCGTATTTTTAAATTTTTTAGAGCTATTTCATATTCAGACGATTTGTATCGAATCGAACTGTCCTCTTTTCCAAAATTAAATTTAGTTCTTGAACGTTACAGGAGCACATAGCCGCTGGCGGCCGACGTTCACAGGTAGCACAACCATGCCGTCCGAGCGCGGTGTTGCCTTTCTTTCATCACGGCTCGTAGTTGACGTCGATTCTGCAGGCTATTTAGGGAATATAAAGTTAGACAATTAGGTTTCTTACCTCCCTACAATGACATCATCAGTAACGTTTTCCATTATAGCTGCTGCTTCTCCAGCAACCAATGCCAGCAACACTGGAGCCTTGTACAGGTTCCAGAACAAGAACAGTTCACCGCGACTTGCAGTAGTACTGCCCACATGTCCGAAAAGATTCGCTTGGGGATTCCAGAAAATGCGTTCGAAGCAGAGCACTACCTATAGTAAGAAAGAACATTTTAATATATCAAAGCGCGAACGTATTTGGTATCAGAACACCTATGTTTTCAGGACTAGAATCTCGACTTTTTTTTAAGAAAGTTTGAGCATCTTGCGTGCGCTAAGAGGCCATCTCGAAATTGTAGTCACAAATAACATATGTACAAAATGCACAAAATATTAAAATATCAACTGACAGTAAAGTAAGTAAACAAACTTTTGTTTCAAAAGGCAACCTGATATGTTGATGTTTTCGGATAGAGACGGAAAAAACAACAGATTTTCCCAAAATCGTGGCATGCATAAAAAACAAACGTTCTGATTTAAACGATGAGTTTTATTAAGTTTTGACAAAAGGAAGTTATGTTAACGCGCAGTGAAGAATCTCGAATAACCCGTATACCTTGTTCAAATTTCCGAAGCCTAATCGTTGTATAGCAGAAGTCTTCCAGTCAGGCAGCGGTGGACTAAACTGGACAGTGTTCAATTGGCTACTAGATGGAGCAGCGCTGAGCTTCAGGACCCCAAGAGGCAGGGTACACAAAACCACGTCGGCTAGAAATGAAACATTATATGTATGTTGTTAGTGAACATTAGAAAGGATTTCAGATTGTTAATAAAATATACTAAGTGACATATAAATCCGAACACCCAGTTTAAATGGTTTTATTTTAATAAAAGTTGGTGAATGTATTTATCTTACTGTAAATAACAATTAAAAAAATTTTCAACCTTATCAGTTGGACATTCCGGTTTTTATACTGCTTTTTTTTAATTCACCAGCGCTCTAAAAATGAATATTTCAGCCGCAGTAAAAAACCATTGTTGGCGGATTTTGGTTCTTGACATCCTTTACGATCGGTTACGATGCCTAGAGTACGGAGACCTGTACGATTTCGTCAACTTAGTGAGTTTGATAGGGGCCGTATAGTGGGACTTCGGGAAGCTGGACTTTCTTTTCGGGCAATTGCAGTTAGAGTACAAAGAAGTGTAGACACTGTCGTTAGTTGTTGTCAGGTATGGCTTCGAGAAGGCAGTACGCAAAGAGCAAGAGGCACTGGACGCAGCCGTAGAACAACAGACCGTGAAGATCGCCGCCTAAGATTATTAGCCTTAAGGGACCGTTTCTCCACTACCAAGTCCATTGCAAATAAATGGTTTGCACAACACAGAAGACCTATTGGCATGCGAAGTGTTTACCGACGAATGAGAAGTTCTGGCTTGTTTTCATAACGGCCACACTGTGTCCTCCCTTTAACTCGAGAACACCGACGTAATCGCCTTGAGTGGTGCAGACAACGGTCACTCTGGGATCAGGAATGGAACAGTATTGTCTTTAGTGACAATTACAATTTTGTTTAGGCATGCACGATGGTCGTGCTAGGGTTAGAAGGCGACGTGGTGAAAGGAGGAATCCACAGTTTTTTGTTGAAAGACATGTTCATCACACTGTTGGAGTTATGGTTTGGGGTGCTATAGCTTATGGTTCCAGGCCACCTTTAATCTTCATCAGAGGTAACATGAACGCGCAGCGTTATATCCATTAAGTTCTAGAACCCCATCTTTTACCCTATCTTGACACCCTGGAAGATCCAACTTTCCAACAAGATAATGCCCGACCACATGTTGCAAGAGTCACAATAGACTTCTTTCAACATAATGATGTCACATTGTTACCATGGCCACCAAGATCTCCCGACTTATCCCCAATTAAGCACGTGTGGGATATGATGGGTAGGAGATTGCTCAATTTGCAACGTCCTCCTCAGACTCTAGAAGCACTTCGAGAGGAGTTGGTGGTTGCCTGGCATGAGATACCACAGGAGGGCATTGACCACCTGATCAGAAGCATGCCTAGGCGCGTTGGAGAATGCATAGCACATCAGGGTGCATCTACACATTATTAAAGGTCAAAGGGCTTTAAAGCAGTGCAATCATTTTGAAATTTTTATCATTTACTTATTATGCTTCATTAAGTACTTATACAAAATTTTATTAAAATAAAACCATTTAAACTGGGTGTTCGGATTTATATGTCACTTAGTATAGTTAAAGAAAAACAACCACGGATCATTGCCCTTGATGTGTAAATAAATCTAGCCCGATCTGACACAAGACAACTTTGTAAGAAATAACTCATCTATAGTAATCAAAGATTATACTGTTTTTTAATGACCAATAGGTCGATTTGGAAGAATTAGCTCACCTTCGAGAATCGAATTTTTGATTTACTGAGAGCTGCAATAAAGTTTGGGTTTGCAAGCTTAAAAATGGATTTATGTCAAAAAATATTATGAAAATGATCAAAAACCTCTGAAACTTCAAATAATTAAGGTTGTCAGTTTTATCATTTTATCGTTATAGTTCGTAGTAGTTAAAGTAATAGATGGGTCAATGATTAGTAGACAGACACATAAACAAAAACAAACAATGTGGTTTTCAGTGATGTACATGTTATGTAGCATCAAAGGGAACAATCTGATTTTTGTGATTACAAAACTTCCTTGATAGTGTCAGTTTCCTGGGAAGAATAAATTCGTTTTTTTTTTAAAAATTAACCTTTGTTTGGAACATTAAAAATAAATGGAAAGGTTATGTTCATAAGTCAAACATATGGAAAAGTTCCACAATGATAGAAAGCAATTTACAATTCCTTTGCCTCGTACGCAACAATTCTCTACGATTCGAGCAGTCACAGAGGAAGGTAATTTCGTAGGCAGTACGGGTAATGGGTGATGAAACATGTCTAACAGATACCAAAAATACCATATGAAAAAAAATAATTGAGGAACCCAATATAAGAAACTTTCTTTCCAAGTTATAGGCGTTGACAACTATCGAATCCTCTCGTTCTGTTGCAGCTTAAGTTGTTGCACTTCTAGAACGTCTTCATTTAGTTTCATGACCATTCATCATGACATCGGCAAGAGAAAGCATGGAAAAACTACTTTCTTAAAATAACATCGTCTTCTATACGCCTGACTTGGTTGCTTTATACTCGTAGACCTGAATCAACGTTCTGGTGAGACTTTAAAAGTGGAAATTTACTCATTTGTCTGTTGCAATATCTAGAGCACAGTATCTACACCACAATAGGGATGTAAATCGTGATATGGGTTCCTGGCCCCTTTTTTCACGTAACATCAGTGAAAAGTTGAAAAATCAGTTTGTTTTACCAGGAGGAGCAGACCCGAAGGAATCTACAACAGCAAACGTGGTGGCTTTATGGTAGACGCTACGTAACGAATAATCAGTCGCTGTACGCTGCGCGGGTTGGAATCCCGTCTCAAGAGAAATTTTCTCTTAACTATGGATATTATGACTATCCATAGGTGGTAGACCGCGCTAGAATCCGTGCCACGTTCCTCCTTTTTCCCTGTATCCCCTTATAGCCCCACGGTATCCGCGGGTGTTTGGGCCTTAGGCCTTCCTGGTGGTACAAGTAGAGAAAAAAAATATTCACACTGTAATTCTGGTTTCCTGGGTATCCTTTTTTATACTTATTTCATCGTATTTTCAGTTTTTTTCATCTGTACTGCCGTGCTTAGATGAAAGGCAGCAAAGTATAAAAATCGTCTGAGAAAATTTAGTTCAAAATTGTGGATTATTTCGAGCTAAGTAATTATTACTATTACGAGAGAACAAAAAAGAACGAATATTGCAAAGTCTCGTGATTTTATAGAGAGTGTCATTTATTTATTTATTTATTTATCAACGAGCGACTGCCCAATACAGCATAGAAAATCCAATGTAAACGTAACCCTACTTTGACTCAGATATTTAACACTTAAAACAATCGCAAACACTTTAACATCCTGATCATTTCTAAATTGAAACGAATTTAATTAAAATTTAAATATATGGGAAATCAAATATTAAATATTACAGACAGGAATCTAATTGAATTTTGAATGTCTTCTGACTTCTGAAAAAATCCAACTTGTTAGAATGCTGCTACTACTATTTGCTAACCTTGAAGATCTAGACAGAAGGAATTAGTACGAAATGATCTCGCATGGAATAGTTGAGTCAGTCTTGCTTGACGAGAAGGCACATGGAGATTAATATTTTTCAAAGACTAAGAGAATGCAGAATATTATAAAATAGTGACAGGTTCCTCTGATTCCGTCTTACCCGAAGGGTTGAGATATTGAGAGAGCTTTCAATGACGGAATAGATAATATCTTCAACCATAATGTTTTGATTAAGTGAAATGAATCTTAAGAATTTATGTTGCACTCTCTCAATTGCCTGAATATGAACATAATAGTTGGGTGACCATACACAAGAACAATACTCCAAATGGGACCTCACCAAAAGAACAAAACAACGTTTTAAATGAGTGAATATTATCAAAATCGTTAGTACATCGTTTTATAAATGCCAACAGTTGAAGAGATTCATATTTATATGGATAATAAAAGATAATTTTGGGTCAAGAATTACCCCTAAATCCGTAACTTGAGATACACTCTTTAAGAGGACAACCTTTCATGGTATAAGTATAATTTATGGGGTAAATGTTACGGCTGAAGACCATTAAATAACATTTTTCCACATTAAGTTCCATTCTATTGATTTGACACCAGAGACTTAATGAATTCAAATCATTTTGGATATTTGAACAATCATTTTGATATTTGATTTTTAAGAATAATTTCAAATCATCTGCAAACATTAGAAAACTAACAGACTTAAAACAGTATATAAGACTATTCACGTATGTATTGAAAAGAAGAGGACCCAGATGGAAACCTTGAGGTAGTCCAGATGGCACATTAGTCTAATATGATTGAAAGTTTTGTATACGCACTATTTGTTGTCGGTCAGTGAGGTAAGATTTCAGCCATGATAAAAGATCCCCGCAAGTTCCTAGACAATGTAACTTATTAATCAAGATCTCATGGTTGACCTTATCTATCGTATGCTTTAGAGGAATCTGTATAAACTACGTGAACGGAACCTTCCCTCAATGATTCCAAAACATAGTTTGTGAATGTTAAAAGATTTAAATCCGTGGAGCGTTTTGAAAGAAATCCAAAATGTTGGCTTATACAACTACTTTGCAAATTTGCTGATAAAAATTCACACACTAGTCTCTCAAATATCATTCCAATGCAAATCAGTTTATTGATAGGTCTATAATTTTTGACTTGTGAAGGATCTCCAGATTTCAGTATTGAAGTAATGAAGCTTGTTTTCCAACATTCCGGAAAAGTTACACTTTCACTGGACAACAAATTTTAGTTTTTTAATTGTATCTTATGGGAAAAGTGCACTTCTTTGTTAATTTTGGGGCGCTGAATCCAAAAATGACAATTAAATAAAAAAAATTAGTTGCGGTTTAGAAAAAAAACTTTTTATTTTTAAGGATATATTAAAAAAAGTAACAAGATTCATATACTTATAAGAATCACTATATGCGCTGTCTCTTTGCTGTTCTTTTATGGATCGTTTCTGGAGCTTCTCTACCAAGAGTACAACAGTAGTCTGCAAGCATGGCAGGATTCCACTTGCCCTGGTACCTTTTTTCCATTGTTGAAATATCCTGATGAAAACGTTCGCCGTGCTCATCACTTACGGCTCCGCAATTGTCAGGAAAAAAGTCCAGGTGTGAGTGTAGGAAATGTATCTAAAGAGACGTATTACAGCCCATCTTTTGATACGATGACATCATATTTTTGACAAGGGTTTTATAGTTGTCAGCTTTTCTATTTCCCAAGAAATTAGTGACCACCAGACGGAAATCATTCCAAGCAGCTTTTTCAATACCTGTTAAAGTGTTTTCAAACTGTGTATCTTTCAAAATATTTCGAATCTGTGGCCCAACAAAAATACCTTCTTTAACCTTTGCCTCACTTAGTCTTGGAAATTTCTGACGCAGGTATTGAAAAGCTGACCCATCTCTATCTAATGCCTTGACAAAGTTTTTCATTAGGCCCAACTTGATATGCAGTGGTGGTAATACATTTTTTTCGAATCTACTAATGGCATATGCTGTACATTTTTTTGACCTGGCTCTAGGAATTGATGAACAGGCCAGTTTTGTCTGGTGTAATGAAGTGCCTTTGCCAGACTGTCCCATTCACACAAAAAACAGCAAAACTTTGTGTAGCCTAGCTGCAGCCCAAGTAAAAGTGCAACAACTTTCAAATCGCCACAAATATGCCATTGGTGCTCATCGTATTTTATGCATGTCAATAGGTACTTCATATTGTCATATGATTCTTTCATGTGAACTGCATACCCTACAGGAAGAGATGGTAAAATATTTCCAATATGCAATAACACTGCCTTTAAACTCAATGTTGAACTGTCTATAAACAATCTCCATTCTTCTGGGTTATAGTTTATATTTAAAGCCGCCAGTAAGCCGTTAATGTTACTGCAGAAAACCAAGTTATTCTCCATATTGAAAAATGGTTCTAAGTCTTTGTGGCGTTTACGAAAAACACATACCGAAACATCATCTTCTAACAAGTTCCACTGCTGCAATCTTGATCCAAGTAACTGTGCCTTACATTTTGGAAGTTCTAAATCTCTTACAAGATCATTTAATTCTGACTGTGTTATTTTGTGCGGTTGGTGGCATGACGTGCTCGGTATAAAATCAGGATCTCTTGACGTTGATGGCATATCTTCTTCCTGGCGAATCACTCGATCGCTATGATCTGATTCGTTTTCTGATTCGCAAGTGTAGGATTCTGGGGGTTTTGGAATAGGATTTTCGTCACTGTGAGGCACAGGTCTCATCGCAGATGGTATGTTTGGGTAGTTAATAACCGATTTTTTTTATTGGACATACCTGTGGCTTGTCCAACACAAGGTACCATGCAAAAGTAACAATCATTAATATGATTTGTAGGCTCTCTCCAAACCATTGGGACAGCAAAGCGCATAGACCGTTTTTTGCCATTTAACCAGCTCCTCAGACTTGAAGCACATGTATTACAGCAGATGTGGGGTGCCCACTGTTTGTCTTGATCTCCTAGTTTACAACCGAAATAAAGTTGATATGCCTTTGTTATTAGTGGAGTAATAGACCGTCTCTGAGACGCAAAAGTCACATCACCACATACGTAACAAAACTGATCTATATTGTTTACACACTTTCGAGACATCTTGCATGAACGCTGTCAGCCAACTGAGGAAAAAATGGCTAATATAAAACAATATAATGTACACGTATGTATAACGTAACAAAATCATGCCGATTACATCATCTTTCCTTGCCGAATATAAAAATGTAGCACGTGCATTCTTGTGAATTACAGTATATTAACACTGTCACAGCAGGAACACATATAATTACCGTATCTCTAAAACTTGAACTAATATTGAAAAAATAAGTTTCATTCCGGTTTTAGCACATTAAAAATAGTAATATTTTGTTGATTTTATTTAGGATATTTTTTGGCTGTTGATCAGTGTTTTCAATGAAAGATTAAAAATATAACATAGAGGTCTAGAAATCAGAAAGCTACAATGTTTAATCAACAACGGAGGTACACCATCAGGTCCAGGTCCTCTACTAGCGTCTAATTTGGACAGTTCTTTAAATGTGATCTCGGATAAAATTTTAGATAAAATTGTCGAGGATTGAAATAAAACAAAGGATTAGTGGTTACGGCAAATTTCGCTTATAGAAATTGAAATCGATACTTTACGTTTTCTTAAGCCAAATACTGTGATACATATGAAATTAGATATGACTCAGTAGCCTATTACAACAACAACTGCGTCAGCTGACAATCGTTGAATTATTCCCACTACTAAAATCTTCGCCCGAACGCCTTTTAAGTCAGTCAGATAGTAGCACCACACAATTGTATCCGACGTACGCTGTCGATGTTCGCACATTCCCATCATCTGAAGAAAAACTACCAGCGGATTTCTGATGAAATTCCATGCACGATCATAGTTCCACGGTACTTGTAAAAACTGCCGACATGGTTCACTTAATTTACTATATGACGACGGGACGACACTTAAAAGGGAACACCCAGGCGGACGTAACTTACGTACAAGCCATAAAAGTCGTGTCACCTTCTTCCACAAACAATTAAAAATACTAATTACAGAAAAATTATCTGTTGAAACCATTAATTACTGGTACGAGTCTGGTTGCATAGTTGCCGGGCGAAGTGCTCAGAAAAATAAAAGAGGCTCGTTAGGTGAGCAAGGTTAGCGATGTTCGCTAGAAATGGTTATTCGTTTGTTGGTTCGGATTAAAAAGTTGATGTGAAACGTGAGACATTTTTTGTCGCTATGATGAGCATTGGTTGAGTTCGATTTCGCTCTCAAGCATCAAAGTCGAGAAAATGATTTTGAACGGCTGTCCGTGAACTTTTTTCCAAGTCCCCATGAACGCACCCTTTTTATTGTTCCCAATATTCCATACAAAGCTGACATTTGTCGAAGACTAGTCATTGAAATTGAAAGATTGGTTGCTTTATTGTGACAACGAAAAGTAACAATAAAATAAAGCTGGATTTTAAGACTGAGTGGAAAAATTACCAGTCAATACAAACAGGCTGTTCAAAAAATAGACGGAGATATTTTGGAGTATGATTTCTTGTTAAAAAATATGAAAAAAGTTTCTATAAACATGGGTCCGGCAATGCAAAGTTTTCGATATACCTTGACAATAACATCGTATGCAACATGTCTGGTATCATCGGTATGGTATTCAAATCAAAAATATGAAAAGAGCATGTGATATGTTTTTTATGTTATTGTGTTTTGTGGTTCATTTTTTGCAAAAAACAAGTACCATGAACTCTTCCTTTTTAGCAGAAAGGTAAACCCAAATATAATAAATTATTATTGTACAACGTGTCCGCAAAGCTGGGACTTTCCTTTAAACAACGCATGGATCTTAAAAACATAAGCAGTTTTTCCTAGTAGCACATACGCCAAAGTTTAAAAAAGCCGAGATATTAGACTTTGCAAAATTAATCAAATCTAAACCAAACCTAATCCACTCCTGTATCTCGATCGGATCAAGAGTGAGAATGCACGACGCGTGTCAGTACTTAAACCAGGCACCAGCAGCGTAGGTAGACAAAATATTAATTTACCAATAGGCTCAAAAAAATGGCACACTCATTCAGCAATATCAAACTTGTCGACATGATTTTAATTTATGGTGATTGTCTTCAGAATGCTACCGAGGCTTAGCGAGTGCATGCAGATCGCTTCCCCTAATGTTATAGTTCAGTCGCCTAGATTTCTTTACTTTGTGTAAAGAGCTAGGGTACATGCAGTTTGCAGAAATGTCGAGGAGGGCACAGTCTTACTTCCTACGAAATATTTTACCGAGTGTGACAACTTCGAACAGTACTTATACATGACAGAGCCGTACTTGAGATTTTTCTGAGAAGGAAAGCTCAACTTGCGGGCTACCTTACGTAGCCTGGTTGCTTTAACATGTATAACAGATTACGATCTTGCAGTTGTTGAAAAGTCGTACATGCAATTCAAGCGCGAGAGACAAAAATGTATATTTCTTTGATATCTCAATCCAAACAAACTATAAATATATTTCAAGGGCAACCGACAGGAAGAGTGTCTCAAGATTACTGAAAATGATTATGTTCTATTTGATCACTCACCATGATATGTGTTTGTAGTAGATGGATTCCGTGGATTGTAAACTGTAACTTCCACGCCTCTGTGGTTATATTCTACCTTCCTTACGGCCGCATTAAGCTTGATGTCGAGCCCTTCTGCCAAAGCCACAGGTACGCACGAGTAACCATTTCGAACTGGAAAGAAAACGATTTTGTCAGCTTCTATGTATTAACTGGAAATACGAAACTTCATAGGAATATTCTATCGACTGAACGTACATACACAGACGGAGGCTCAGAACATCTGCTGACTAAGACAAAGTGTCAGAAAAATAATAATAATGCCTGATTATTATTGGATTAAAATTTCGCACAAGAAAAAACTCATTTGATGAGGAAGGTGGCATTCAGTACCGTTGCTTTTCCATGCAACCCCTGTAAATAATACTATTCTAAAAGGATAACCTAACAATTACAGATTAATAATACTTGTAATCAATACAAACAGCAAAAATAAAACTTTTAAACATGGGATATGACTCTATTCCGAAAGCTACTAAGTGAAGGCGAATTTTTCATTAATAATAATAATAATGGTTTATTGGTGCTATTGCACACAAAATTAAACAAATTAATATTCTGTTTTTTTGTGTTTATTTGGAGTTAGGAATTATTGCAGTTTTTAAAAACACAATCTAAACGATCATCTTAATTACTTGTAATGCCCAAATCGAAAATGTAAAAAAAAATATTTTCCCATAAATAATTGAAAATGCATCGAACCTTGGAAATCGAAAAATCTCAAAAACGGCTAACTATAACGAAAATTCACAAGAGAGCTTTTTTATGTGCGAAGAATCAGTTTTTTATTCAAAAAGCAAAAAATTGCACTAAGAAAAAAGTGGAAGCGTTACAGATTGATGGCATAAATCATAGACGCAATGGGGAATTGAATATCAAATTTACACTAAGCCCTGAAATTTTTTAGGCAATACACATAAAAGTCCTAGCTCGACTCAAGCTGGGCGCATAAAAATTGAAATACATGTGCTTTTTGATCTTAACAGAATAGAACATTACTGTGCTGTCCTTGATCAGTCCAGGTTGTTGCTACTACACACTGAACTTGGTAGCTTGAGGTTTGTGACGTTAGCCCAAAAAAACCGGGGGATAGCAGTTCATTCATGTCATTCGTTTGTCCAGATAGTAAATTATTAATATATAATAGTAAATTTGTACAACAAAAATCTCCAGAAAAGGATGCTTTATATTTTAATCATCTTTGTTCTCTCTGAAACTGGACAAGTACCATATTTTGCAAATAAGGTCTGGGAGTAACAAAATGGTGAATTTGTAATATTCAACAATTTTTCTTAGCACAGACAATATACGACTAATTTTTTTAAGACTAGTGGAAAACTTTGTCCTTCTAGTACAAATAGAAATGGACGTATTTATGTAATATACCACAGTTCTTCTTAGCGCTAGCTACATCCGACAAGCTTTAGTAGGAACCGTAACAATTTTGCAGTTGACAAATTTTATAAGCAAATTTAGCCGTTTATATTTTGCTACTAGTAAAATAGGATAAAATAAGGTTAAAACTGTCAGATACCACCTTCTTAGCACGGTAGTCTAGGCCGGATACCTTTGTCGATTTTGAAAATAAAACTTCATGTGTCTCGATAGGGAAGCATCTTTGGACCCATATTTATTAGAACTTGTTTGTTATTTTTAGATGTATTTTCTACCTTAAAAATATTGGCGCATCTTTCTGAAACACCGTGTATAATGATGTTCATAGAAACTAAAAAAAAAACATATGAATAAGTTTTTAGTTTCTGACCACTACAGAATTCGGACGACTTCGATAACATAAGTACAAATGTTCGTCTTTAATCGAATTTTTATTCTCAGCAAAGAGATACTACAGGACCCTCGTCTATAAGAATTTCGATGTTGTGTAGCTTTTACTTCAGAAATCTTGCCACTAATTTTAATACTGCCTACCAGTTACCAGCACCGAATCATCTGCAAATGCGCATTCTTCTAGTTCCACATTTTGCAACCTCTTGTATCCAACAAAAATTGGTTCTGTTATTTGCCTGCATTGCTTTATCAGGTCATCCATAAATATTATGAACAATAGAGACTGAGCCTTCCACCTTGACGTACTACTTCTGTAGTAACGAATTCTTTCTCGTGTATATATTTTGAAATGTCTATCAATTCGAGACGTCGATCTCACATCACAATAACGATTCGTATGACGTACTAACGAGACAATAATTGTCTAGAAAGCACAGAGCTGGTAACAAGGAAACGCTATGTGTATATCATAAGTGTTTTCTGTAGGGCATTCTAGAGCTAGGAGATTATGTCTATCTTGCGATCATGCCTCCGCCATTAGCGTCAACACTGATTTGAAATAGATAAGCTGTGGGTGGTGTAACCAGACATTAGAGGTTCGTATTTTCGATGGAAGCAATTTACCTATCTGGACCGTTCACCGTAAGTTAAGAGATGACGTTATGAAAATTACTTGTTCGCTTGACACGTCTTGTTATTTATCCATATAGCTAACCCAGATGTCTTGCAGAGATAAGAATCTTTAGTGATATACTAGTATTTAGGCGGCATCCAAGAGCTACAAGAGACGATTGGACTATTTCTTGGTTTGAGGAATAACATTTTGTCTAAAAAGCTTTTACCTGCATGCAAGATGAAAAATAAGTCTTAGTTGAATCAGTTTGATGCGGAAGGAGCAACGGATCGTGTAGCTTGATATTTGACGTCAGACTTTACTAACCTGTCGTTAAAGTAAAATCGCAATGTAGTAGTATCGCTCTCTTTTACTTTAAGCTTTAAATCAATAAATCTTCGAAACTACTGAAGCTCATGTATTTTACACTGTATAAAGGGAATTGAAATACCTTTGTCACATATATATTTTTCCTATTATTCATTAGCACTATAGTGACGCTTGCAACATATTCAAAGGTATATTTTTAAGGTTATCCCCTTCAAACTGCACGGTCGTTTACAATCCCAAGCTCGTTTTCATATGTTCAAGGTCATTTACAACTTCAAGGCCGAGCAGACGCAAGGACAATAGACTTGCAAGGTCACCTCCATTCAAGGCATTCTAAGTTTTCAAGATCAAGGTCATTTATACTTTCAAGGTCACAACACTTCAAGGTCAAGGCAATTTACAATTTCAAGGTCACGTCACTTCAACCGCAGTTACGATTCAAGATCATTCGCGTCGTTTACAATCCCAAGCTCGTTTTCATATGTTCAAGGTCATTTAGTGAAAATCAATATGGATTTACAGAAGGGAAGGCTACATCGGGCGCAGTAACTAAAATTGTAAATCAAATACATCAAAATATTGATAACAGAATCCCTTCAATCTGCATTTTTGTTGATTTAAAGAAAGCTTTCGACACAGTTAATCACAAATTATTATTAGAAGCATTGGAGAGAATTGGTTTCAGAGGAAACGCGTACTCACTGATCGAAAGTTATTTGTCAAATCGCCCACAATCTGTGCAGATA